CTAGTTTTATTTTTTGAGCTAGGGAGCAATCAATGCAACTCTGTGCTAAAGCCTACAGATTAATCAGAGACTATTCAATAGCCAAGCACTACCAACACTAAGGTATTCATTAACAAGCTGGCGATGGCTCTCAAAACAAGGTCAGGATTATAACAAAGTTGTAATCACACTTTTTCCTAAAAGGGAACCAGGATAAAGGTGATGTAAAGGTGAGGCAGAGGTGGCACCAGCCATAAAGTCCCAGAAGGGGTTAAATCAGATTTCTGAAATTCCTGCATTCATTTGTCCAATAATATCTGAATGGCAGCCATGTGCAAAGAAGCAAACCTGACTCTGGGACTTCAAGAGAAGAGGGGATATGAACACAAATAAAATATGTACATAGAGTAGCACACTCACATAAAAAGGAAAGAAATGAAGATATACAAATAAAACCTGATGGAAAGACGGAATTTTCCTCTGGGGAATAAGAGGGTTAGGGAAGGTTCTTGAGAGAAAGATGTAAAGGATAACCATGACATGGTCGCTCAAAGATGAAGAAATACAGTACCTTACAGCATTTCTGGAGCAAACTTCGGAGGGCAGAAAACAAACATCATGTGCAAGAAATATCTGGCAGTTCCTTCTGGGTTAAGCACTGGGGCACAGTGACTACAGAATGAAAAGGCAGACTGCTTCCACAGTGGGGGAGAAGGATGCTATGAACTCCACCTTAAAGAGCTGTAACTTTATTAGGGTATAGAATTAATCTGATTGGGGAATTCTTTCTTCCATTTGTCTTACTATTTGGAACTGTTACTATCTCCTTTAAACCCCCAAATGAACCTCGCATTTCCTTCAATAAGATTCTTAATTCTCTACTTTATGGAAAAACGAGACTATGAGGTGTCATTTTCTCCAACTTTCTACTTTTTGACAACAAATGTAACCACCCCACTCTTGATGATTCCTGAGGTTTCGGGAAACAAGGTTAAGGGATAAGTCCTTTTAAAGATTACATCTTTTCCTATCTTCCAAGACTATGATCCACTTTTAGTATCCATTTTCTTTCTTTTTTTCCCCCATTAAGTTTATTGGTACATTTTCAGTATACAATACAGTTATATTCATCATTGGGATCTTGTACCATCACATGAGTCTCTTGGTTCTTATTTTTTCCCCCTTCCCTTGCCCTCCCTTC